GACCTCACCCCAGCCAAGCCAATTGGCTCAGGGATGAACACCTGATCTGAGCAGAACCAATTAGATTCTCTAAAGAATGTCAACTAGGGCCTCAGAGACATTGGTGGGTTGACCCTGAACCAACGAGGCTGTAAGGGGACCACCTAGAACAGAGAAGCAGAACAAACTGGTCACAGAGGCAGAGAAGAGGGAAGCTGGTACCAGAGAAGGCTGAGAGGAGATGCCCCATGGAGCTGGGGTGGTGCTCAGGGGATAATCAAAGGGGAGAAAGAGGGTTTGCTGCTCTGGGTCCTCCTGGTGCAGCTCCTGTCCCATCTCTCCAAAGGTTGAGTTGCATCCCCACCTATAACTCATCACCGAGAGGGCCCAAGACCCCATGATTCCACCCTGAGTGGAATGCAGCCCCAGACATCCCAACCAAACACAAAGAGCATCAGGATGTAGGGAAGGAAGTCAGTGCTGGAACCAGCAGCCTCTGGCCAGGACCAGTCAGCTCCAGGAGGCCAACCCTTAGCTTCTGCACCCACCTATGGAAGTCTCACCTGTCCTCCAGTTCCTGCTGGGTCTCCATGGCCACCCTACCCTCCATCAGATTCCAGAGGAGCATGTAACTGGTGTTGGAGGCGAGCAGGGCCCTCCAAGCAGTGGCCTCTATCTTGGTGGCAGTGTCCCAGTGGCTGTGCGAAAATATCCACCTGACTATCACCAGGAACTCACAGAGCAGGAGGGCTAGGGCCCAAACCCACAACCCTGTCTGCATGGGCTTCTTGCTATCCCAACTCAAGCAAAGGACTAGACTCCTCTACCTCTCTACCTGACATGTAGGGAGAGCTTAATAGGAAGGGGGCCACATGTCCCAGACCTGATAATTTATGCCTTTGTCCTGGGATAATGATTAATAGGGCCTTTTTTCACATGTAAAATCATCCTCATTTGGACAATGAATTTTACGGTCACTCTAATAAAGAAAGAATAAAAGAACTAGTGGTTATGAAAGCCTGGGTTTGAATCCTGGTTCTATCACTTACAAGCAGTGTGTCCTTAAGCAAGTTACCTAACTTCTCTGAGCCTGTTTCTTCATGAGTCTAAGATTTAAATGAGTCTAAGATCCTAGATACAACTAAAGGGGACAACTTTGTACTTTGTAGACCCTGTACTTTTAGAGCCTTGAGCTGCTTTTTAGAAGGCAGTAAGTGAAACAACCCAAATGTCCATCAAACGATGAATGGATAAACAAAATGTGGTATTATGCATATAATGGAATATTATTTGGCCATTAAAAGGAATGATGTTCTGATTTCTGCTACAACATTAGTGAACTTTGAAAACTTTATGCTTAATGAAAGAAGCCAGTCACAAAAACCATATATCGTATGATTCCACTTACAGGGAATATCCAGAAGAGACAAATCCAGAGACAGAAAGTACACTAGGGTTGCCTAGGGCTGCTGGAGGGGTGAGATGGGAAAGTTGAGGGGAAAATGGGGAGTGGCTGCTAATGGGAATGGGTTTCTTTGGGGGTTATAAAACTGTTCTACAACTCTGAATATACTTAAAAGCCATTGAATCATGTATTTTAAATGGATGAATTGTATGGTGTGTTAACTCTATCTCAACAAAGTTGTTAGTAAAAAAGGCTGTCAACCTAGGCTTGCTCCCCCCATCCTGGGAGTCTCTCTGAGCTCCTGCTGCTACCACATATCGCTCCCTTCCACGTCTGGTGACAACCCTCCCCCCCAACTAGAAAGCTCTTGTAGTCACCCAATTCCAGCTTCCAGAGTGGGGGCACATATGGGCTAAGCCTGCCTGGGTTAGTTGGGGTTGTGTATTAACTTGGCTGGACCATGATTCCAAGTAGTTTAAGCAGTTATGACGTGGTTATTCCCATGATGAGATTGAGTATATATGCTTTGAGCAGCCAATCTGTTGAAAGGGAGTTTCCCTAGGGGTGTGGCCTGTTTCCAAAATATATATGGACATCCTGGGAGAATGGGAGAACCTTCTGTGGATCTGGATCCTGCTGTACTGCCTACAACTGTCTGTGAATGAACAATCCCCCATTCTGCCTGGTGATCTTGGACTTGTCATCCACTGGAGTCAATAGCCAGTATATTGCCTGCCAACCTTGAGCTCGTCAGCTCAAGCTGCATGAGTTGGGAAAAGCCTCCAGTTTGACATTTGATCCAGGAACTTGGGACTTTCCAGCTTCTATAACTGTGTGAGCCATTTTCCCAAGATAAATTTCTCTCTCTCTCTCTCTAAGCTTTACTGGTTTTGTTTCTCTAGAGAACCCAGCCTAACACACTACCCCTGGAAACCCCTGGAGAAGGGCTCTTGCTCCCTGGAAGACTGTGTGGGCAAGACGTCACCACTCTCTGGGGTCTTGGGACTCACCTCCTGGCTAGAAATCGTGCCTCTGTGGCCAGCTGGCTCCAGTTGGTAAGTTGGCTGGGCTCTTCCTGAGGAATCACCTTTAGAGGAGAAAAGGAAAGAAGAAGAAATTGATGATCCATCCCTAAAGGCTCTGGACCAAACTGGACAATGTCAGTCATGTTATAAATGCACAAAGCCAGCCACAAAGTCGGCACCCAGTGAGCCGGGGGCCTAGATCATGGACATAATGATAAAGCCACGGACCACTTACTGAGCACTCACTGTTGACCTAGCAAGTGCCCCATTCTGAGCAAGGATTACCTGCCTGAAGCAACACATGAGGAGCCACTGTATCAGCCCCATCTTGCAGATGACAAAAATGAGCCTCAGGCAAGGGATGAAGTATGCTCAAGGTCACCAACCAGGTCAACAGTAGGGCTGGGCAAGGATCGAGTCTCCCTCCTCCCTGTCCAGAGTCCCCTTCATTGGTGGAGCTCAGTAGTGAGGGGTGGGGTGCGCCTGGGGTACCAGAGACGAGAGCGTGATGGTTGCACGCAGAATCTCTTCCTCCGAGGACGCCAGCACCACAGCAAGATTGGCCAGCTGGACGCAGGTCTTCTCAGCTCTGGCCTGGGCACAGTGGGCACTCCTGCTCAGCACCTGCAGCTGTGCCTGAGCAGCCTTCATGGAACCCTCGAGGTCCGTCATTTGCTCCAGGAAGGTTTCCTGGGACCCTGCAGGAAGCCCATAGCCCAGAGTTCACAGAGTGGTCTAGATTTCATGCCAAACCTCCCATGCCAGGAACCAGCCCCCCATCTGTGCCCACCACCCTTCCCTGAGCACAGCTTAATCCCATCACCAGCCCTGAGCACCTCAAGTTACAAAGCCAAAGCCTCCCCATTTTACAGATCCAGAGGCTGAGGCCCAGAGAAAGCAAGTCATGATCCAAAGTCCTGTAGTAAGTTGGTCACAGACAAGGGACTGAAAGGAACTTAGGCCTTCCAGGGTCACCACAAACAATTCTTAAATCTGGCACAGCAGGAAAACTCTGCCTCAAATTCACTTTGTAATTTGCAACATAGCTCACATCTGGGCATTTTAGACAGGTGGTATCTGGTAGCTCTCTATTTAAAAACTATTCTTGCTAACAGGTGCTCAGCTCACCTGTGTCTGGCTGCTAAAGGAGTGTATTTCATGAAAGAATCGATTCACTTTTGCCTGTCTCTAAATCTTAGTGCCTAGGGCAAAATTCCAGCTACTTGGCTTTATTTATAGTTCTCTTTTCTTTTTTTTATTATTTACTCGTTTATTTTCCATATGCCAAGCATTATGCTGGGGATACGGCAGTGAACAAAACAGCCAACAATCAAGACAGTGAGCCCCAACTTGTTCAACACCTGGGATAGCGCATTGATAACCATTTGTTGGACAAGTGGATAAATGAATGAACCTAGCTCCTGGCCCCACTGAGCTTACACTCTGGTTAGAACAGGAGGGCTTGGGAATAGATGCTATATAGTCAAAGACTGGCATTCACAAAGCTACAAGACCAACTGGGCTAGGGACGTGAAGGAGAGGTCTATGGGGTCATAGGACTGTACCACCAAGGAAGCCCACAAGGTAGGGAGGTGAGCTTCCCAAGCAAGCAGGTTCTCCTGCTGGGCCACCAAAGAAGCCCAGGAGCCTCAAAGCATCTGGACAAAATGAGACTGAAGAGTTTCCTGGGGAAGTCTGACCAGCTTGCCCTTTTCTTTTCCTCCCAGTCTGCCAGCCACTCTCCCGCCAAACCTTGTAGCAGATCGTGGCCCTGGTAGACATCTCCCCGCGGGGCCTCTCGCTGCAAAACATCCAGTGGTCCCCAGGGGGTGCCACAGTCAGACCCCTGCAGCCATCTTTCCATCAGGGTCAGCCGGGCCTTCAGCTTGGCAGCCTAGAGAGAACAGGGAAAGAAGAGTGTGTGAGTCTGGGGGCCTAGAAGGTCTGCCTGGACACCTTCCCCAGCTTCTGCCTGGCCTGCCCTCCCCAGGGCTCCCTTCTCCAAATCCTACCTAGGCTTCAAAGCTAAGGATGTACCACATGCCTGAGAACCATGCCTGCCTGCCACCTGCTACAGCTAGCCCTTCCCATCTCATGCTCATGGAACCTGCTGGCACTCAGCCATCCACACTTCTGTCCTAAGAAGGGTGGGAGGGAACAAGGAGAACAGAAGCTCCTGAGGGTTTCTGTCCATCTGGTCACTGTCCTCCCAGTACAGACACACACAGGCACTCAGTGGACATTTGCTGGCTGAGTGAAAGTGCTATGCAACGTCTTCTAGCACTGTTCTTTTAATCACATGAACAATAACTGCATTTATGGGGTGCTTGCTAAGAGCCAGCAGTGGTGCAAACGCCTGCCACTTTGTAGCAACCCTAACTGGCAGGGACCACAGATCCTAAGCCCTCTTCTCTGCTCCAAAGTCTAAAATGCTCTGAAAGTCTCATGGCTTTCCGTCCTTTACAATATGGCAACGATCTGATCTAACCTGAATTTATCCGGAAGCAAAAGCTGTTCTGAAAAAGGCTCACTGAGGCTTTTATTTACCCACTTGATGTGAACATTCACGTTTTCCTGAAGAAATATCAATGGGCTTGATTGGCAGGGAGGGGATCCTGCCAGGGGTGTGAAGATGAATTTCATGTGTCAGCATGGCTAGGTTATGGTGCAGGCATTTTGTAGATGTGACTAATATGCATCATCAGGTGACTCTACGTAAAGGAGATTAACCTTGATAATATAGGTAGGCTTCACCCAATCAGTTGAAGACCTTAAGAGCAAAAACTGAGGGGCTCTGCCTCAAGACTATAGAGTAGATGTCATGGGTTGATTTAAAATATGTGTTGAATTCCTGGCCCTTTTACCTGTGGATGAGATCCTGTTTGGAAAGAGAGTTTTTATTTTGATGTTAATATAGGCATACCAGTATAGGGTGGATCCAAAACCTAATCACTTCTGAGTTATAAAAGGACACAGAGACACACACATAAGGGGGAATATAGAAGCCATATGAGGACCCACCTACAAGCAAAGGAAGGCTAAGGATTGCCAGCTGTCACCAGTAACTAGGAAAGAGGCTCACAGAAGGCAACACAGCCAAGATCCTGATTTGGACATTTAGCTTCCAGAACTGTGAGAAAATAAATTTCTGTTCTTTAAAGCCACTCACGTGTGGTATTTGTTACTGTAGCACTGGAAAACTAAGACAACAGATACCCTGCTAGAGTTTCCAGCCTGCTGTTTGACCCACAGATTCTGGACTTGCCAACCCTCACAACTGTGTGAACAAGTTCCTTGAAATCTCTCTCTCTCCACACTGTATGTATATTTATATATAAATATACACATTATTAAAACCAAACTCACTGCCGTCGACTCACTTCTGACTCATAGCGACTCCTCCTTGGGTTTCCCAGGTGGTATCTCGGCAAAAGTAGATTGCCCAATCTTCATACTGAGGAGTAGCTAGTGGGTTTGAACTGCCAGCCTTCTGGTTAACAGTCAAATGCCTTAGGCACTATGCCACCAGAGCGTCTATGTATACATACATATACACTATACATATATGCTGAAAAGAGCTCTGGTGGCATTGTGCCTAAGGCATTTGACTGCTAACCAGAAGGCTGGTGGTTCAAATCCACCAGCCACTCCTCAGAAAGAAGACTGGGCAATCTATTCACATAGAGATACCACCTTGAAAACCAAAGGATGGGTCACTATGAGTTGGAAACAACTCAACAGCTGTGAGTTGGTTGTTTTTATATATATATATATATATGTAAAATATATATAAATAATATATATTTATTATATAATATATATTTATAATATATACATTATGTATATATTTATAATATATACATATTTATAATATATATTTATACTATATTATATATTTATAATATATATTATATATTTATAATATATGTATAATATATATATTTATAAAATATACATATATACACACACACATACATATGTATATAACTATACACACACAGACATTTACATATATAAGGAGCTCTGGTGGCATAGTGCCTAAGGCATCTGACTACTAATCAGAAGGTTGGTGATTCAAACCCACCAGCCACTCCACAGAAGGAAGACTGGTCAATCTACTTCTATAAAGATTTACAGTCTCAGAAACCCAAAGGAGGTCACTATGAGTCAGAATCAACTTGATGGCAGTGATTTTTGTTTTTGTTTTATACATACATGTGTGCATGCACACGCACACACACACACACAGGAGTGCTGGTGGTGCAGTGCCTAAGGCATTTGACTGCTAACCAAGTTGGCGGTCCAAACCCACCAGCTGCTTTGCATAAGGAAGCTGAAGCAATCTACTTCCATAAAGATCTACCACCTTGGAAACCCAGGAGGGGTTGCTATGAGTCAGAACTGACTTGATAGCAGGGAGTTTGGTTTTGTGTGTGTGTGTGTGTGTGTGTGTATGTACATACAGATAATGTATAACCCATTGCTGTAGAGTTGATTCTGACTCATAGTGACCCTGTAGGATAGAGTAGAACAGTCTCATAGGGTTTCCAGGCTATAAGTCTTTACAGAAGCAGACTGCCATATCTTTCTCCCATGGAGCAGCTGGTAGGTTCGAACCACCAATTTTTTGGTTTGTAGCTGAGTGCTTAACCACGATATGACCAGTGCTCCCTGTTGTTGTTGTTATGTGCCATCGAGTTGGCCCTGACTCATAGTGACCCCTCCTTGGGTTGCCAAGGCGGTATCACTACGGAAGTAGATTGCCCAACCTTCCTCCCGAGGAGTGGCTGGTGAGTTTGAACCGCCAGCCTTCTGGTTAGCAGTCAAGTGCCTTAGGCACTATGCTACCAGAGCTCCTAGGGCTCCTTATATTATATATATATATTCTATTGGTTTTGTTTCTCTGGAGAACCCTGAAGAACCCAATGTGAGCTAATATTCAGTATAAGCCATCTTATCTTTCTACAGTTCCATACGTCTGAATTCCAAAACACATCCAGGCCACTGATTTCGGGTCTATTACTAGCTCTGTTTTAGAGTAGGACAGCAATGCTGAGGCTTACCAAGACTGTCCCCGACAACTGAGGCTGGGGGGAGGAAGGATAACTGAGAGCCAGTACCCTGACCCCCGCACCACACTCTTCCCCTGCTTAAAATTCTTCCACTTGTACCCCAGAACTGGCATCACCCTCCTTCTGACCCTCCCTGCATATAAGTTATCTATAGTCGCATTCCCAGTAAACCTGAGAACTCAGAAGGGTGGATAATGAGAGCTAAGGGTGGGAGGCAGGACAGACTGAGGGGCTGAGCTGGGTTGTAATGGGCCAGGATGTGGCTGGACCTAGGAGGAGGTGGACCAGACACAGAGTTGGTGCCATCTGGGGGGCTCCATCATTGTGTGGGGGTGAATGGGAAGGCAGGGCTGGGAGGGCTTGGCTAGAAGGGAGGGGGGCTCACCTCCTCCTTCACCAGGGAGTAGCAGGACGGGCACTCCTGGCACTGCAGGCCACCACTCGTGAGGAAGAAGTTGTCCTGGCAGCGGTCACACTTGTAGCCCACAAAGCCGGGCCTGCACACACACGTGCTGTTCTCGTGGCACTGGACAGAGGCAGCCCCCAGAGGGGAGCACCTGCATGCTGTGGGGGCCATGGCACATGGTGCTGGGTGTCCTGTGTTCTGCAGAGATCCAGCCAGCACCCCAGAAAACCCCCGCATCCTCTGGGTTGCTCCTCTAAATTTTCATACCTGGCTACTTCCCAGAACTCCTGGCTAGCCTCAAATATAGATTCCTGGGCCCTTCCTGGGATATTCCAATTCAACAGATCAGAAATGAGGACTGAAAACTGAGCTGATTTACTTAAATGGCCCCCATGGTGGGGGAGGAGAGGGGAACTCTGAGGACCAGCCAGATTCAGAAACTGCCAATGCAGGCTACCTGTACCAAGGAGGAAACGAGGCCTGGGGAGGGGGCGTGATAGTTCCAGGCACACAGGAATTGAGCAGGGAGTCTAGGATTAAATGCCCAGGCCACTGTGAGGACAATGCCCTTCTTCCCAGGCCTTGGCCCTCACTCACTCCAGGTGTTCATGGCCACTCTCAAGAGACCCACTCAGAGTCTAACATTTCTCTCTCCTCCTGCAGAGTCCTCTTCCCCTCAGTCCTCCGCCCAGAAACCTTTCGGCCCCAGTGTTTATGCAGCGTCCCTCCTACCCACTGGGGGAATAGCAGCCCAGAAAGGACCCAGCTCCTTACCCCGGCAGCCCTTGGCAGAGAAGCCAAAGAAACCCTCCTGGCATCTGTCACAGGCCTGGCCCCCAACGCCTGGGCGGCAGGGGCACTGCCCAGTCTTGGGGTGGCACTGGTCCTCCTGGGAGCCCACTGGGTGGCACCTGCAGCTGTAATAAGAGACAAAACCAACCTGGTGACCAGCCTCCTATGTAGGCCACAGCTGGAAAGGGGCCTTCAGACAACAGCCTTCCACTGACTGGGCCCTATTTATTTATTTTTAAATTTTTATTGTGATTCGGGTGAAAGTTTACAGAGCAAATTAATTTTCCATACAGCAGTTCATACACATTTTGTCTTATGACATTGACTGCAATTCTCCACAATGTAACAGCTCTCTTCCTACTTCCTCCCTGTAGTTACCTCTTCCCTGTATTCTTCTTTCCTGTATATTCCTGCCCCCTAAGCTATCTCCCTGTGCAAATACTTCTCTTCTGTTCTCCCAGGATTGATCACTCTAAGGAATGTATCTACCTACCTGGTGTAGGTATCTGATGTAGATACCCTATATGACCCCTCCTGGGAAGGAAGGTTGGGCAGTCTACTTCTGTAGCCATACTGCCTCGGAAACCCAAGGAGGGGGTCCCTATGAGTCAGATCCGACTCAAAGCCATAGGAGGGAGTTCAGTTCCAGCTCTGAAGGGCAGTTAGGGGCCATAGTCTCGGGGGTCTCACCAGGCTCTATCAGACCAGCAAACCCGTTTTGTTTTTTTTTTTTAATGATTTTGAGTTTTATTCCACATTGTTCTCCTACTCTATCCAGGATCTTGACTGGGCCCTATTTTAATTGTGGGGCACGTGACATGACTTTCCCAAGCCATGTTCTGGGGAACAAAACAATAAATAAATAAAGGCTTTATGAATGCTTATGTTGTGGAGACTACAGCCCTCTGCTGGAGAGTCATGATACACGTTAAAGGCTCTGAGCAGTCCTGCAAGGAAGAAAACCGTTGGCATTTCCTCAGAGCCCTCCCCTCCTCCCTAAAGATGCTTGTCTAACGTTCTATGTGGCCAAAAAGTCAGCCCGGTGTTGATCATCACTGAAAACAAAATCCGAGACCAAACTGGCCACCTGCCCACTGAACATCCCTTAGGGCTGCTCTCGACTGGACTCCTGGGTTGGTAGGGCCTTGACTCGGACCCCAACAGACCATGCCTTTGTCCCCTTTGGTGAAGGGCACAGTGTACCTGGCAGCAGGCCTGGGATGACACAGTCCAGAAGGCCCATCGGAGGTCCCTTGGCTTCTTCCTCCAGCCTAGCACGCACTCAGGTCAAGGGCACCTATGGCCTCACCTCACCTACCTCTGGCAGCCCTTCCCAGGCTGGAGGTCATAGAAGCCAAGGCTGCAGCGGCTGCAATCTTGTCCGGTCACATGAGGCAGGCAAGAGCACTGGCCAGTCACTGGGTCGCAGGGTGTCTGCTTACTGACCGAGCCCTCCAGGGTACAGCTGCAGGCTGGGGAGGCAGGAAGAATGCTGAGGAACAAGGCGGACCATCAGTGGAACCTTTGGGGGTTCAGTAGATGCAGAGAGGCTGGGGAGTCCACAGAGATACCTCTCATTCAACCCATCACCTAAGCCCTTTCTGGAAGAAGGTTCTAGGGCAGAGCTCATTTCTCAAGCCATTTGCTATGTCCTTGAAGAGATGGCCCAGAACACTTGTGGCAGCAAGTGGCCCTTCCAAGCCTTCCCTGAGCCCTCATAGGCAGGAGAGAAGCCAGAGACTCTGGGCACCTGCCTCGCCTCAGCCCTGGCTCGGTCAGGGGTCACAGGTGACACTCTGCAGCCCCTGCTTTGAGTCATGTGACTCAAGAACAGCATGCAACTATGGGCCAGCATGGCATTACCAGAAGGGGTTCCATAAAACAAGAAAAGCAGAATGCTGGCAAATGTTATGTGGAAAAAGGGTTTAGGGAACCCGTAAGTTTGGGGCAAATGCTGAGTGTCTGTCCTACAAGGCTTTTGAGAATCTTCAGAGGCTGAGGGGTGCCTTGGCTCTGATGGGGGGGCAGAGGGTAGGGAGGGGAGAGAGGAAGAACATCCTGGAGGGTGGGGCAGTTTGATTAGAAGCTCAGGGAATCAGAGGACCAAATATGATGAGAGCTTCTATCTGGGACAGTCTATGTGTTAAGTGGGGAGTGTAAGATAAGCATAAAATCATCAAGGCAGGAAAACATGTCACAAGATCACAGTTTATAAGATTTCAAGGTTAAAGGATTTTGGGGAAAAGTAAAGCCTTATACTTCCTCAACATGGAAACAGAAAAGGTAAATAACTTGCCTGAGGTTGCACAGCCTTTTGGAGGGCTCACTGCCCAGGGCAGAGGAGATGTCTCCCATGCTCCACCCACCCCTGTGGCCCCCACTCGTGGATACTCACGCGCACACTTGTCTGCAGGCCGAAGGGCCAGGGCGCTTCCGTAGAAGCCCTCCTGACAGTGTTGACAGTGCACCCCTGTCGTGTTGTGGAGGCAGCGCAGGCAGTGGCCAGACAGGGGGTCACAGTTGCCTACAGCGTTGGGGTCTATGTTCCCATTGCACTGGCACCGGTGGCAGGGCTGGGGATGCCCAGAGAGCCCAAGTGGGTCCCCAAAAAAGCCATCATCACAGATCTCACAGCGGCGCCCTGGGGAAGGAGAAGGCTGTGTGTGGAGGGAGCAGGTATAAAAGGGCTAGTTACGGTAAATGAAGCAGCAGTGCAATGGCCGGGTAGGCCCTGCTCCACGGCTCCAGCTGCCAGGAGCTGCTTCCAGAGCGGGTCCCCTGTGAAGCTGGGCATCTGGCAAAATGGACTTAATGGGCTGTTCTGACACAGCCACAGGCACAAAATGTGAAACCAGACATCTAGGATGTCCTTGAGTCCTGGAGCAGGAACAAGGAGTGGGGAGAGGCATGGCAGCGTGTGTGCAGGCGCGCGCGCGCATGTCTGTGTGTGTGAGAGAGAGCGAGAGAGAGATTTCTGTTTCACACATTTCCTGATGACTTTTTTTTTTTAGAGCTGAAAGTTTAATCTGAGGTTTTCTACTTTAATTGTGAATCAGAAGCACCCAGGGAAGCTGTTAGGAATACAGGCTCCTGGGCTCTGTCTCAAGCTACTAAGTCAGGCTCTGTGTGACAGCAACCTAATGTGGGTATCTTTAAAAGTTCACCTGTGGGAGGATACTGGGACATGGCTTGTTTTTAGGCCCCAGCAGTGTCCCTGGGTCCAAAGGTCTCAGCTGCATGTACCCTAAGGTCTGAGTTCTGTGTAGAACTCACAGCAGCTGAGGGCCCTTAGTTATGAGAGGCAGGTGCCCTGAGTGGTCAGGCCACCTCTAGCAGAGCCCACCCCCACCTGCTATACCCCAGACACAGGACCTCACCTCTGGACTCAAGACAGAGTCAGGGCATCAGGGCTTGGCTGTCCCATGGGGCAAGGTCCCTGGGTACAAGCCACTCACCTCTCTGGCCCAGGGGGCAGTGGGTACACACCACCTCCCTGCTTTCTGGGATGGTCGTGCAGGCTGACTGCCCAGGGCATGGACAGGGTTGGCAGTCATCAGCTTGGCCTATAAAGGGGTTGCCATAGAAACCAGGCAGGCAGCGCTCACAGGATGGGCCCTCCGTGTGGTGGACACATAGGCAAATCCCTGAGGGGTAAGACAAACACCTTGTTACCAGTGCCTGAGCCCAGAACGCCCTAGAGACAGCAGGCACAGTGGGAGAGGGAGATTCTTATTCCTCCAGCACTTTAATGGTCAGGTCATGGGCCACATCCCAGGCAGAACTAGAACGGGAACCCTTCTACGATGGAGGTGTGGTGGACCCAGGAATGAAAAGCCCAGGCCTGAAACTGGACCATCCTTGGTTCACACTGACCACTTAATGACTCTGAACCGGGGCAGATTGTCTAACCCTTCTAGTTGACTTCAAAGAAAGGGCTTTTGTCAGGATTCAATGAGCATATTCATTTAAAGTGCCTTGCATAGTCCCTGGTCCACATAATTATTATTATTATTATCATTAATATTTTGTATTCCAAAATGCATAACTGAATGAACAGTCAACATTGTTGGACTGGAGAGATTCATTCAGGTTCGATTAGTGATGTCTGCCACAGGCAAGCAAAGGGAAAAGGCTCCATAGGTTACTTGTGCTCACACTCCCTGGTTGGTTGTGCTGACTCAAAGGCTATGGTTGGTCCTTTCCTCTGCCCTCAGATCCAGTGTTGATCCTGAGAAAAGCTGAGCAGGCATTTCCCTTCTTAGAGAGACCAGGCCTGCTCAAAGAGAACACGTGCTAAAACCTCCACTCTGAGTCTCCTGCTTCCTGGTGTGAGAGGCTCAGTGAAGTGAGGGTGGAAAAAGGCCTGTGTGCCAGCCCCCATTCAGTGACCTTGGGACCACAGGCAAGGTCTCCTCTGAGTTTCCTCAGCTGCAAGTGGGAATAACAGTTTGTTGTTGTTGTTATGTGCCCTCGAGTCTTGAACCGCAGGCCTTCTGGTTAGCTTAGCAGTCAGGTGCCTTAGGCACTATGCTACTAGAGCTCCTGGGAATAACAGTAGTGGTTGTGAACAGCCAGCCTGGAAGTCCACAGACCTGTGGGAAGAGAAGCTCTGCCACCTACTGGCCACGGGGCTTCTCTGCACCTTAACTCCCTCACCTGTAAAAACGGGACAACGATGGTCCCAGCACACCCAGGGACTTTCCCAGGATTCAGTGATGCAATGTATGAAAAGGCACCTAGCACATGGAGGAACACAGTGACATTATTTTATTAGTCTTGTCTTTAGTGATCACTCACATGTGTACAAAGCATTGTTGCCTATATCCACCAGTTTGGACTTTGACCTATAAGGGAGAGACTGGCCTTGTTGGTATTTTCTGCACTTTCCAGATGAAGAGCCTAAGACTCACCCAGTTAGTGATGGCTGAGCTTTGTTGCAAACTAGGTCTGTCTGTTTCAGAGTCTGGGCTCTTGACCTCTTGATGGGCTTCTCTCGACAGCCTAAACCAAAACCTTCTAGCTGATTTGGACTCACAGTGACCCCTATTGGAAGTAGATTGCCTAGTCTTGCTTCTGCAGAGTGGCTGGTGGGTTTGAACCACCAACCTTCTGGTTAGCCTTGGTCACTGTGCTACCAGAACTCCTTATCTCGACAGCCTAGCTGGTGTACACTATTATTATTCCCATTGTACAAACAAGGAAGCAGGCTCAGGGACAGGAGTGACTTTCCCAATGCTACAAGCCACTAAATGGAGGAGGTGCCAAATCTCTGACTCTGTGCTGTGTTACCCTCACAAGAACCTTCCTTTCTTAGAGCGTCCCTCTGGCTGGCAGGATCCCCCAAGGTCTTTTTCTGGTCTGTCCAGGGACCTTGCCCTAGCAGGTGGACTCACAAAAGACAGCCTACAGAGGTGTCAGCTTAAAACTCTAAGCTGACACTACTGGGCAGCATCTGTAATCAGGGAGGATGTTGTTGTTGTTAGGTGCCGTCGAGTCATCTCCAACTCATAGCCACCCTACGCACAACAGAATGAAACACCACCCGGTCCTGAGCCAGCTCCACGATTCTTGCTATACTTGAGCCCATCGCCGCTGCCATCCCGTCAATCCATCTCATTGAGGGCCTTCCCCTCTTTCGTCGACTCTCCACCTTACCAATCATGACATCCTTCTCCAGGGAATGGTCCTTTCTGACCACATGACAAAAGTATATGAGATGAAGTCTGGCCATTCTCACGTCCAAGGAGCATTCTGGCTGCCTCTCCTCCAGGACAGACCTGTTACTTCTTTTAGCAGTCCACAGTACTTTCAGCATTCTTTGCCAGCACCACAATTCAAAAGCATCAATTCTTCTTTGGTCTTCCTTATTCATTGTCCAACTCTCACATGCATATGAAGCAGCTGAAAATACCATAGCTTATGTCAGGCACGCCTTAGTCCTCAAGAAGACATCTTTTCTCTTCAGCACTTGAAAGAGGTCCTTTGCAGCAGATTTGCCCAGTGCGATGTCCTGACTGCTGCTTCCATTGGTGTTGATTACAGAACCAAGCAATGTGAAGTCTTTGACAACTTCAATCTTTTCTCCATTTATCTTAATGTTGCTTACAGATTCAGTTGTGAAGATTTTTGTTTTCTATATATTCAGATGTAATCCATACTGCAGACTGTATTCTTCAATCTTCATCAGTAAGTGCTTCAAGTCATCCTCACTTTCAGCAAGCAAAGTTGTGTCGTCAGTGTAT